TTTCATGTCTATACTCTAATTCTTTATGCCTCTTTTTATGCTTTATTGTACAAAGGATGATTTATCTTTAGAGTCTTCAGTTTAACATTAGGGTACATTTCAACATTTTTTCTGCTTGGAATAACTTCCCTCCCTCCTTACCCCCTTCTTTCTTGTGTAGTAGGGGAGATTAAACCCAGGGCCCTCACATTAAGCTACATGCCCAGCCACTTTTAAAAAAAAAATCCTTTTGGGGGCTGGCGATTTAGCACAGTGGCACTGCACCTGCCGTACAAGTGCAAGGTCCTGAGTTCCATCCCCGGTACTGGGAAAAAAATTAGAAAAAAATATTTTGAGACAAAGTCTTCCTAAGATTCCCAGGCTGGAACTTGAACTTGGATCTTCCTGGCTCAGTCACCCAGAATGTTGGTATTATAGGCATGTACCACTGCGCCTGGCTTAATTTGTATTTTAAGTATCTCCCAAAGGCTTGATTGTCAGCTTACAGTGCTACTGAGAGGTGGTGAAAGCTTGAAGAAGTGGGGTCCAATGGAAAGAAGCTAGGTCACTGGGTGTGCCCCTAAGGGGAATTCTGAAACCTAAGCCCCTTCCTCTTTCTTTTTGCCTCCTGGCCTTCACAAGGTGAGCATCTTTTTTTGGCTACATGCTGCCTACCATAGTGTATCACCTCACCACAGGCCCAAAGACAAAAAGGCCAAGTGCTTATGAATGGAGATTTCTTAAACTGTGAGCCAAAACAAGCCTTTTCTCTTTATAAACTGATAATCTCAGGTGTTTTGTCACAGTGACAGATTAACACAGTGTGCGCCAAAGCATTGGAATATATGCAATTACAAGGATAATATCTGTGTAAGGTAGAGACTGTAAAAGAAGAATTTCACTTTTAACCCTTCTTAAGTCTGTGTTAGAAGAAATCTTATAAAGAACAAATATAGCACTTAGAACTTCCGGAAGTGCCTTATTTGTTTAGTAGTTATTGCCTCATCCTATACACAGATCGCACGTTTTGAGAAAGCAGAGCCCAACACGCTATGTGTTACAGGCTTGGCTCCAGAGTGGCACTTACGGGAGCTGGTGATGTGGTGGTACCTAGTGGGAAGTCTTGAGGCCACTGACGGTGTCCCCTCAAAGTGTACTTTATAACAATTCAGCCAGATGCACTCATACGACATGTGGTGTTCTTTGTGTATATATTATACTTTTTACAGAGAATAAAATATAGCATGGGATATAGATGGGTATGTTTAAACTATTGCCAAGCTCTACAGATGATTCTGTACTCCCTCCTTATGGGGACACACAAGGCCATCCAGTAATATGAACCCATGAACCACCATCTAAGTTGAGAAAATAAGTTTTGTTTGCTTTTGTCATTCTTAAGGCAATAGGTGAGCATTGTAAGTTCTGATTTTGGGTGTAGCAATTGATAAATAGAATGTATTAATTGCATATTTATTATAAAATACTGAAAGTTTTTATGTAACTTTTTCAGATAAACCCAGAAGTTTTGATGGATGCAAAATGATGACAGACATGTAATACATTCTTCCCTCAGGAGAATGGGGAGAGAGAAAACTTATTTTGTGTGGCAGAGTGAGATGTAAACAACGTCAGCATAGCACACCACTCATTCAGCCTCCAGTCCCTTTCTGGCACCCTAAGAATAAAACTGAAAACCTTTTTCTTAATCCTCATGAGGCCTCAAGAGCCTTGCTGCCCCACTCATGTTGGAGCCTTACATCCCCACTTCTTTTTGTGGGGAATGTGCTTTCCCCAGATAGTCATGAAACTGGTTTCATTCATCTGTTGAATGAATGAATTCCCTTATGTAGGGCTAGTATGTACAGTTCAGGAAAAATAAAGGAAAAAACCCTCATAAATAAAAGTATTCAAAGCCTTACTTCCTTCCCCATCTTCTCTTAAGATGACAACTTTGTAGCTTATGGCTTAGACTCATTTTTTTGTTTGCTTGTTTTAGGCTAATTTGTAAACAGTTTTTTTAGTAGAGTTTTATATTCATAACGAAGTTGAGCCAAAAAGCCCAGAGATTTCCCTTCCTGCACCTACAAGTGTGTGCCTTCTCTCACTGTCAACATCCTTCACCATAATGATCTTTTTTAAAACAACTGATAAACACTGTCACACCATAATCATCCAAAGTCCATAGTTTACATAGAGGTTTATTCTTGGTGTTGTTCGTTCTGTGGATGTATAATAGCATGCAGCTAACTGTTTGATTACAGTTTGTCGATGAATATGAGTACTAAGAGGACCTGCAAGTAGTTTTTGTTTCATAGGACACAATAAGCAGGAAAGGAGCCCCCTACCTGGTGGGGTCCTGCCCCTGTGGACCAGATCCATAGATAGCATCTCATCTCTGAAAGACCTAAGGTGAAGCTGGGTGACTGGAGAAAGAGGCTGGGATTCAAGTCAAAGAACTGGGAGGCTGAGCAGCCACAGCAGCAAAGCCCATGAATCTGACTGGGTGCTGGTCTTCGTTCAAAGATGTTGAACACTTGACACTTATTATGATAACCTAACAAGGTAGAGGCAGCAGGTACGTTGAGCTGGCTGGGACTGCCATTTAGGCAGGCTGGTACCAGAGCTCACACCTTATTTATTGACGCTCAGAAGGAATCCAGACCCAGCTCTGGTTGCGAGCTGAGATTGAGGCCCCAGACTGTGAGGATGAGCAGCAGAGTGAGCCCAAGCAGTGGGGAAAGGTACAGAATGGAGCAGCAGCGCCCTCTGCAGTTAATGTGGATCTTCATTCCTCCCAGATCTCCCTAAATTATCAGTGACTTTGGGTTCTTTTAACCTAAATCCTAGTCCTAGGTTAGTCCTAGCCCTAGTCCTCATGTTGCAGCATGATACTGAATGCTATAGTCAGAGCCCAGTTCACTGCACTGAAAGAGTAGCATCCCAGATGATCTTATGCAAATGCTCCTCAGAATTTAAATAGGAATTTCTCCGTACTATCTGAGACTGTGGGAGTTAAAGAAGCAAAATGCTAATGGTGGAATTTCAGAGTGAAGACCAGAAAGCATGGGGGATGTTTCAAGATAGGAGGCTTACAAAACACTCTCAAGTCATCTTTTGTGGTCAACCATCCATACTTACTGTTAAGGACACACAGTGGGTAGGGATCCTGTGTCATGGATGTTCCACCAGTGCTCACAGATCTATTACAATTTAGGCCTAAAAATGATTTATCTGATTGCCCTCTCTCTGCTTCCTCATTTTCCAATCCTGTCCTTTCTTCCCTTAATAATTTTGCACATCCTCTAGTTTCCTGATCCTGCACCAGGCAAGAGGGGCGGATGAGGAAGTAGTGTGGTGCTGTCTCTCCCTGGGCATCATGTGCCCCTAGCAGAAGTGGTAGGTGGTTAGATGGGTCAGCACATGGCTGTGTTTTTACCACTTTGACTGTTTCAGCCTGGTCTACATGGATGCCCCAGAAATACAAATGATAAACCTCCTGGATAAAGACCTGTGCTTGCTTTGAAAGATAATGTATTCATCTGACTGTGAACTTTTTTTATGAAGCATAATATGTAAGATATGTATGTATAGGTAGCATGTTACTGTAAGATAATAATTCCATTATCTTGTCAAGAAGGTACATACTCTGTCTGGATAGTGTAGGCTAGATTTTTGTTTCCAAGGTTTGGGAAACCTTTGCTCCAGAAGAGAGAATTAAGTGACTCATTTTTTTTTTTCTTAAAATACTAGTATCCACATCTTTCAAATCTGATCTGAAGATGGCTTTATTTGACACTGCATCACTTACCAAAATTAAAGCAAAAGCTTGGGATATTTTAAAAAAAAATCTATGTTTCATGTTTCTCTGCAAAAGTCTGACTACACTGAGCCTGCATTTCCCAAGGGAAACAATTGGTTAAGACTGAATAGACAGCTAATATCTCTAATGTGCCGCAGCCCTATCACTTAGTTCCTGATGTTCCACTTCCTTTGCTTGCATCTCTAATCCAAAGGAGGGGGACTCTCAGGGCTCTCACTGGACCAAAAAGTTAGTTGACCAATGATTAGTAAGATGAATGGGAGTAGCACTCCATGAGGCTGGAAGCTCATGACTCCTTGCAGTGGTCAGGACTTCTACTGTGGATGTGCCCAGATCTCTTGCAGGGCTGGACTTAGAGAGATGCACTGCCCAAGTCCATAGAGCCCCACTGGAATGGAGCAACAGGCCAGGGCATGAGTATCTTGTTGACAGTGCTGGTGGACTGCAAACCAGAGACTCAATCTTCACTTTACTGAATGCTGAACTCTGTTTTTTGAAAAACAAAAGGGTGGGAATCCTGGAAAACCTAACAGATAGGGATTGAGTGCATATAGTTTTAACTAGAAAATTAAATGTTACAGTTCTTACATCTGAATGTTGTCCCAAATGGTTTCAATAATATGAAAGCCATAGCTCCTTCTATTTTGGTAATTTACGTTGCAAAAGACTCCCAATACCTTTCTTGATTATCTGGTTGCCAAATCCATTATTTTGTCCACTCCACTTCATTCATTCACTCACTCATTCACTTATTCTTCCACGCTTACACCCATTCATCAGATATTGGAGAATGTAGCCGAGTAATAGTGTGGAGGGATGCAATGGTGAGCATGATACAGTTCAAAGTTCTTTCAGTACTTTCTAGTGATGTGTATAGATAAAAAGGGAATGGAGTGGAAAAATGGACTGGGAACAAGAAGTTTGGGGGTTTACTCTTATCTCTGTCTTTCAACTGCTAAGCAATCTTGGGTCAACTACTTCACCTGTGTGGGCTTTATTTTCTTTTTGTATAAAATGAAACTACATTATCTTATTTTGTTCCAACGTGTTTGTCTAAAAATTTTCTTATAAAAGTTAAAAATATTTTGCAGTCACAGTGAGAAGGGAAGGAAGCCTGTGATTATTTTTCAGGAGCAATGGCTGTGTTATATCTGAACTCAGGATTTACTGAAGAAACTCAAATGGGAATGAGGGTCTTGGAGAAAGGAGACCTCTTATGCAGTTGGGGAAATGGGTTTATTGTATCTATATATAAGGAAGCATTTATTGATGCTTTTCAAAATAAGGGATGAGATAACAAAAATATTTTAGCATGAAAACAAGATTGATGCAATAGACTGATATTGAGCTTATAGACTTTCAAAAGTACATAGAGCCTGAAATGATAGCTTTCAGGCCATATAATCATCCAGATCACAAAGTCAACTATACAGTGCAAGCAACACATGACAATAAAACGTGATCGGTGAGGCAGTTGCTCACTTTGGGATACAGGGAAGCTTATCAGGGTCTGGGGTCTGGGGTCACCGACAGGAAAGGGTTCTAAAATCGCATAAATCCTCCATATCTCTTTTCCATCTCGGGAACTTCTTTGGAATAACTTTCACCTTCTTCGTCAGAGGGCAGAGAATCAGCAAAGCGCTTCAGGAAGCCTCCGTATCTTTTCTGGTAGTCCATCCACCACTCTGGGCGGCCCACCCTCCTCATGAAGCCCCCATACCGCTTCTGCAGCTCTTTTGCTTCCTCTTCCAGTTGGGGGCTTCTCTTAAGGCCTCGCATGAAGCCCCCGTATCTCTTGCTGACATCCTCATCATTGTCACCGCCCTCCTGGTGGTGGCTCTCTCTCTCACGGTTGTCACCTGTTCCCAGCAGCTCCTTCAGTAGATCTGAGGAATTGGCCAGGGAATCCCCCTCCTCTGCATCCTTCTTCATGAAGCCCCCATACCTTTTGGAGAGGATCTCACCTCCATTGGCCTCTTCCTCTGGCTCCACGGGATACAGCTCATCCATCTTCTTCATGAAGCCTCCATACCTCTTCATGAATCCCCCATACTTCTTGCTGAGCAAGTGGCTCTCATCCTGTTTGCCGCTCTCTCTGAGCAAGTTGGTACCCTCTTGAAGCTCCTGCTTGGACATCTGCAGGAGATCCCTGCAGGTTTCCCAGATTTTGAGAGAAGGCAGCTGTCCTTCACACTCCAGTGTGCAAGCCTGGGAAAACAATTCATTGTAATGGTATTGAGAGGATTCCCAGATGTCCTTAAGTATATGAACAGTGGATCCTGCTATGCTTTGCTGTAGTAATTACAGTCTCTCATAGAACAGGTTCATCTGCATTTCCTCATGTAACTTTTCATCACACTGACTAGGCAAAAGAAATAAATGAAAACTTGAAACAAGCAAGTGTGTATGGGAAGGGAGTAAGGATTAACTGAACCAAATTAGAAAGCTGTCAATGGATTTTAAACCAGTGGTATACACCATGAATGTTAATATTTTAAGAGGCCCTCCTCCTCCAAATTAATTTAGACTGGTTGCCGTCACAATCTAATTTCACCAGTTTTCCTCTGCTGATGTCATTTTTGTTGGAGATCTTTCTAATCAAAATGAAGGAATTTCTCTTTCTCTAATTTGAGACATTTCCCCAAAATACCCAATATCATTTTGTCTTGCAAAAATCAATCTGAATAACATTTATTTGCTCTCCTGTGTTAGCATTTTACTACAATGCCATTCAGTATTCTTGCAAACACTTTCAATTTTCAAAGAAAAACAAAGATTTCAAAATAAGATTAAAAGAAAGACATTTTAAAAATTGAGTTTACATCTGATGAATTATTTGTATTCTGATATATTGATTTATTGAAAGTAGAGATGTTTTGTTTTCCCATTTTTATTGGTTGCCTAAAACATTTTACCAACTTGAATCAAATGTTGATAATGATAAGATCAGATAGGAAATTATATACATGCAAGTGCTCAAATTATTTGTGTTTATTTCCTTAACATTTAGTCCTTGGTGTGTAGAAAAAAATCTTTTATAATGGAAACTATGCTACTTAATAAAATAGAAATGATCAGCATATAATTATTTCCTTTTTTATTATGTAATAATCAAATTCAAACCATTGAAAAATTTAAGCTATATATTCTAATGACTTTTTTCAGACTTTTTTCTACTTAACAGATGGCTTGTGTATGATTCAAAGAGTACCAATGTTACATGAACACATACAAAAACTATATTCTATTTCCTAACATATTATAGCTCTCAAATGTAATTATAGGACTCAGTATAGCAAGGATTGATTTAGACAGAAAAGTAACATATTTTCTTGTTTTTATAAATGTGCTGGTATATTAATTATTATTAGATATATTATTTTTGCAATGAAAGAAAGCCTTTTATTCGTATAACAAAATCTTTAGAAGATATACTTAACTCCTTATGATTATTTAAGCTTTATGTCTAAGACTAATATGCGAGCATAAAAGAAATCTAAAGATGATGTCATTAAAATGACTCCATTTTATTCCTGGTAATACCTAATCAAGGAATCAGAATATTATTAAAAGCTGAAGATATTCTAAAATATTTACATGATTATGTTGCTAAAAATTAATGTTAAATATTTTGTATATTTAAACAAATAGGTTTTTAAAATGTATGTGATTTGAGAACCTTTCAAAAACAAACTGCTAATAATCAGAACAGCACATTCATACTTAAGAGTAGATGTTAATTTATGGATCCTATAGTCATCAACATGTCTTTAGTGGTCTATTCATCACAGTCTCATTCTATGGTCAGGCAGAATTAGATGGTGAACACTCCCTCTGGACATTAGTCAAGACATGCTTGCTCATCATTGTACCTACCACAGGTCAATACATAAATGTCTTATCAGTGGTAGAAGCTTGGCAAATATTTGTTACATTGATTTTACTTCAGTTTTGGCCAGGTAACCTCATTTTTCCCATTTCTGTTATATCTAAGCTAAACTTCTAGAGCTGTGGTAATTCTACAAAACAGGCATTAACTAAATCCTTTGTCACCGAGAAAATAACTCTAAATGTAAGTTCCAGCATGAAGCATAGCAGTTCGTTATTGGTCAACATTCCTTCCTAAGAGAGATTTAAATTATAGGTGGCTTGTTATCTTTTTTTCCCAAGTTACACATACTACATGTGCCATACCACCGCCTTCATTAACGTAAATAACAAGTTACATAAGGCAGCGAGGAAAAGTTAGGAAAGAGGAGTTAGTCTTTTCCCCTCTCCCTAATCCTGCTAAAGGCCAAGGGGAGGGTGAAAAAGGATAGAAGTCCGAATGTTTAGTGCTATCCAGGGAAGGGCTAGCCAGGTGTACGTGAAACACAGGGCATGGAATGGGGGAGGGAAATGTGGGGTCAGAAAATGAGGTCTTCAATACGGCATATCTTAATTGTCTTTCTCTCCTACTGTGTACACAATTCTTTATTCACAAGATCTTTTCTTATGTTCCTAGCATTCACTCAAATTTCAGGCATAGCTTAAAAGCTTATGACTACAGGGGAAAGGAGAAAAATGGATGGCAATTGTATCCTGTAAAATGGAACCTTTTTCTGATAGTTTAAATGTAAAACATTATTATGTATCTTTTCTGTAAAGCTAAATCAGCACATTCTTGACGAAACAGAGCAGGGAATTCACATATTCAAATTAAACAAATATATTTAATTTGAAACATATACCTCAGACTTTTGGAATCCCTTCGTTTTTTTCCATTTCAAATCTCTACCTAACATTAAATTTCTTCAAAAGCTCAAGTGAAGCACAAAGCAGCTTAGATTAATTTATCATATTCTATTGGGGTTTTTAAAGTGTCACATAATTTCAACAAATTTCAAAGGCAGTCATTACACGAGCTAGTTAAAATGAAGCACCTTGAATCACAAATCTGGATTCCAACTCACTAGAGCACCAGAGGTGATTTAAAAGCCTACAAACTATGATCAGAGTGAGAGTCATCGTATCATCGTGTCCCCCTTCTAATTTATCTTTAGGTTGTTCACACCTCTCGTCCCTGACCATGCCTCCTGCCCCCTCTCATAGCCAAATCAACTGTTGCTTTTGTCAGTATTACAGTTGCCATCATGACAGAAGTTGAATCCCATCTCATCTTGCCTGTACAACAATTATTAACCTTGTCGACTATGATTTTTCCTTCCTTTGTCTTTATCTCTTTATTTCTTTTCTTGCTCTTATTCACAGGTGAGGGACCTGAGGCTGAGAGAGCTCAGGACAAGAATTCAAAAAAAAGGAGAAGAAATGCTATTAACAAAAAATTATATTATTTGTAGGAAGGTTGGTTATGGGTGAGGGCCACTTAGCTGGGAAGGTAGGAGCTGGGGTGAGTGGACATCTTCCTTCTGGCAGTCTGGGAGACCCAATGCTCTCCGAGGTGCTGAAAAGAGCAAGTTTCAAGGGTTCTAGAATCCCCAGGGTTAAAACAAACTTGGGTTGTGTGGAGATATCTCCACCTTTATCAACCCCAGACGGTCTCAGGTCCCAAAAGCTCAGAGCCAGAGGGAGTCCTTGGTCAATGTTCTGGGAATAGCCAGATCTCTTGTTACCAAGGGTCCTCCCCACCGCAGCACTCACTGGTGTGACGAGATGCGCAGTGGCTCAGCCTGGGCTGTCCGGACTCACTGTGAACTCTCATCGTGCCTGAGTAACACTCACCAGAAAGTTGAGCTCGTCAGGGCGCACCAGGCGGTAGCTGCATATCGCGCAGTCCTGGCTGCACTCTGTCTGCACGGTGGCCAGGACCCCGGGGCCCAGCGCCAGCAGCCAAGCGCAAAGGTTCAGGAATCTCGCCATGGACTGAGAGGAGAGAAGTAACCAGAGATCTAGGCGCAGAACGTACCCCTCCGGAGGATCCCTCGCTGCGACAACCCCACCGGGGGCGCCGTCGGGCCAGAGCACTCTTGTTCCTGGTCCCTCGCCCCCAGCCCGCAATTCGGACACCTTTTAGGGAGAACTGGGGTTGGCTGGATGGCTTCAGGGCTCCCAGGTTGTCACAGTCGCCCTCCAAACCTGGGGTTGCCAGGGGCACCCTACTAATTTCTTGGGGTCCTTAGCCTAGGGCAGTGTTCTGTTGTGCACGCCTGAGAGCTGGGGCTGGAGGAGAGTGGGAGCTTGGGGAGACATGCATTGACCTGGATCAGAAAGAGGAACCCGGAGACCCATGCCATGGGTGCAGGCGGACTTCCCTAAACCCGCGCAGCAAAAGAGAGCTCAGGGCAAATTCACTCACGTTGTGGTTGCTGGAATGCAGCAGGCTGGTTGGAACAACCGGGTCCCAGATGCGGCGACTCTGGAAGAGAAGGAGGCAAGTGTGAGGGAGCCGGCGTCGGGGGGAGGAGGGCGGGCAGGGCCCTCAGACGGACTCGAGTCTCACCGTCGCGGTCTGCGGTGTTGCA